AGTTGGGCTATGTGACGGCTTTAAGAGTCCACACAAAATGGAGGTCAAGTATATTCCTATGCGCTATAGACTCATTGTGTGTGTGTGTGTGCACCTGTATGTGTAAAATCAAAGAGGAACAGAACAGCATGTTTTCTAGTAGGCCCTCTAGTGCTTTGTGGAAGAGAGCCCTTAGCTATATTAAATCTTTGCAATGCGACATTACTGGCAGGTGCAATCTGTGGGCAATTCCCTCCTTTCTAAGCAGTGTTCCAAGCAAATACATGTCCAGTAAATATCACTTAGTTGCTCTTGAAATTACTCCTGTCATTTTTTCCTCTCTCATGCTGCCACTGTACTACTAATCACAGAACAGGCTGCCAAAATTGAACTTATCAGTTACTGTTCATATTCAGCTGCTTTTGACAGAATTCACTGGGGCGATTTAATATGTTTAGTCCCCAAGAGGTGCCAGGTGGAGAATGGATGGTTTCTGTATGTCATCAGAGAGTGAAAAGAACTGTATTTTTTCCATTAGCACCTGCCACCTGAGTGTTTCGTCAGGTGCGCTGAAGGGGCTTGGGCTTTGATTTCGCCAATGCAAAGCACTTTTCTCTTCGTGCAACAGGATGGGGAAAAAACACGCACGCATATGCCGCAGTTCAAAACAACGGAATGCAGCTACTACTGGAGCAAGTCATCTGTCTTGGCTGTGATGTTTTTTCCATTTCTTCCCTTAATCAGTAGAATGCTGATGCTGGTTAAAGGCACCTGTGAGCCTGGCAATCTCTGGAGGAAGGGCAGGATATTTAAGATGAAAGATGCTTTAAGATTGCTCCCTGCACATACAGCACAAAAATGCCAACACAAAGGGAACATTCTGGAATCGCATGCCCCCTTCCTTGTATGTGTCTTGAATTCAGCTATTGATCTTGTACGACGAATTTGTACCACGTTTGCCTGCCAACTGCATCTCTTTGTCTGGCTAAAATACTACACCACATTCACTCACATGAGGCAAACAGTCAAAATGGCACCCCTCTGCTACTCAGTTCTTTAATGAATTTGGAATCGGGGGAAATGGGGCTGCCTTTGAATTTTGTGGTCTCCGAATGTTAACAGTGAACATGATCTCCCAACTTCCCTAATGGATACTGAATGTGGAAGCTCAAAAAATGCTGTTATTCTCAGAGGTTGGGTGATAGGTGACAAACACGAATGCATTTGCCGACTTGCCAAAAAAATTGCATATCCCAGGAGTAATGCTTCCAGCTTTATTTCCAGAACCCCACTCCCCGAATTCAATCTGTTTTTCCTTGTATGCTATGAATTCTTAGTCTATAACATAAAAAGAGTGTATTTATTCTGTGTGAATAATTTCTGGATCGCTTGGATATTCAGTAAACACAAATTGGGCCCTGGGTTTGGGGTGTATTCCCTGTCATTTGCATCATAATACATCACCAGTGCAGAACCTTTAAACATCTGTTGTTTTTTTCTTAAAACCTTGGACATTTCCTTATATTTCAGAGGACACAGCCCTACAGTAAATAGTGATTGGAAATTCTCTTGCTTTCTTCCTTTCTAGCATTTGAGATTGATAAAAATCTGTCAGATTTTTTTTTGTAAAGGGGTAAATTTGATTCTACTTCAATAGCATTTTAACTATCTACTATTCACACAAAATCGAGCATGAAGTTTTGCTGCCTAGTGTTCGTTCTTTACAGTCTTGATGTTCTAATGTGAAAGAGAAAGTGGGGGGGGGGAGAGAGACCAATTTGTTCACTGGTTTCAAAGAAAACGGATTCATGAAACAATCCAAAAGTGGGTGGGGCAATCTTTTCCTATGCCCTGCCAAGCTCATGCATAGCTGTCAATGTTTCTCTTTTTTTAAGGGAAATTTCCTTATTCCGAATAGGATTCCTCGCAAGAAAAGGGAAAAGTTGACAGCTATGAGCTCATGCCACCATAGCAGATGGGTGGTGTTTCCCCTTCACTCCTGCTTTCTAGGTTTTTATTCATTAAAAAAAGTTTGCCTTCCATTGATTGAATAGATAGTGAAATAAGGTACACAATAGGACGTCCCTCTTTTCATCAGAGAAATGTTGGAGGGGATGGAATAGGATTCTCCTCTTTTCATTGGAGAAATGTAGGAAGGTATGCTAAAGTTAGTATAGCTTGTCCCCCATTTTGTGGGAGGGGGGTGTAAGGGGAACAGGAGTGCTTTAGATCCTTTGGATCCACAGTCTTTCCCAGCACACCCTCTGGACCACCTTTTTGCCTGCTCCAAAGTTGAGGCCCAGCGGAGGGACACTGGCTGTCTTTCTGCACTCTCACGGAGGAGTCATATTGCAACAAGAATTTTAAGGTCTTTATATATAAGAAATGTTCATAAATTACCAAGCAAACACCTACATAAACCACATGTCTGAAGCAGCACAGGAAGACAGTCCTGAAACCATTTTGACTCCCAAACTGACCAAATGTTTCTCTGCAAGGAGGGAGGAGGTGAAAAAAAAACTTCCTTGTTACAGGAATTTAGTAATCATCATCTCAAAGGGTGACAGACTACCAGGAAAAGACTACCAGAAAAGGCAATCAGATAAGGCATTATCAAGATAACCTGGCAGACAGAAAAAAACAACATTCAAATTTCTGTTGTAGACCACCTTTTCTGTGATGTTGGTGTGATGTTTGTGGGCGGTGGTCTTGGCCCTTCTGTGATGTACGTATGATGTATGGAGGGGTGGTCTTGAGCTCCAGGGTAGGAAATTTAAAATGTCTATATAAGGCCTTGCATACCATTGTTCAAGGTCCTTCTCCTTTCCTGCGTGTGAGGGGAGCACCCTGTTGCAACAGATCAATAAAGATCAGGCTTACTAGCTGCTTTGCTTCTCCATATTCTCTGGTTGGTCTCTGTAATTTTCTCCTACCAATAGGGAACCCACGTAAGGACTCTATACAGGCTCTTGGATACCCCATAAGGGAAAAAGGGCAGATTTTGTTTACAACAATATGCCCCTCACTGAGGGTAGACCTCTGTTCTTGCCCCCAGTGAGGAGGACCTGGAGATGCTCTCCCAGGAACCAGAGGATTGCAGAGCATCAATTACCTATCTACTGTATTTTTCACTCTATAAGACGCACCAGACCACAAGATGCACCTAGTTTTTGGAGGAGGAAAACAAGAAAAAAAATATTCTGAATCTCAGAAGCCAAAACAAGAGGGATCGCTATGCAGTGAAAGCAGCAATCCCTCTTGCTGTTCTGGCTTCTGGGATAGCTGTGCAGCCTGCATTCGCTCCATAAGACGCACACACATCCCCTTACTTTTTAGGAGGGAAAAAGTGAGTCTTATAGAGCAAAAAATATGGTATTTTATCACACCTCATGTCTTAATCAACAGAGACTTTGGGATTTCCTTGGCTTTCCCACACATTCACAGACAGGACGATATTCTTGGAACTGGGTTTACTTAAAGTTCAGATAGTTATGAGTTGCACCAATATTTAATGTGTCTTTCCCTCATCTACTCATGCAGATCTATGTGTATGATGACTGAAAGAGGATTTACAGTTCCTGAAGGGATAATTGTCTGAGTGCAAACTATACTTAGCGTTTGTTCTATATGAAAATGTAGGCCAAGCGCTTTGCTTAATTATATCCTCACGTCTCCAGTGAAGCTAACAACTTGTTTAATCTGAAAGTCATATTTATGTGGCTCGTGAGGAAATGCACTTTGGTCCCTGGTGAGGTAGTTCTAAAGTATTCCTCAAACGCTGGGAGCATTTCAGGAATTAATGAAGCGGTTTTGCAAATACATTTATATATTTCATAGGCTGTTTCTTCCTGCCTAAAGTGGTATATGGTACATCCACTTATACCACGCTTTGGTCAAAGAGGAGGTTCAGATAAGTCACCCTCCTGCAGGTTCCACAATCATTCAGGAAATAAAGAAAGAGCTGAAGAATACTCAACACAAAGCAAAGGTTCTTAACAGATCACAATCATGTGAAATGCCTTGGCTTAATAATGGATTCAAAAGTCACCTTTCCCTTAAGCTCCTACTTACTGCACCTTTTATTAAAAATATCACACTAGGCTTCTCTAGGTAGCTAGGGTTTTTGCAGGCTGTTAATTAAAGTTTCCCGTGGCCATTTGGAGTGAAATTGATTTTTTTACTGATTATGAAGAACACTTCATTCATAATTCCTTGGCTGTGCAGAAATTAAAGGTTTCTTGAATTCACAGCTGGAAAGGAGGTATGAGAGAAAATGAAGGGTTTAGCTTTGTTTGTTTTAAGTAAAATAATACTAACAATAATAATATAAACACTGTTGTTTGGGGAAATAAATATAATGCACCCAACAAACCACTTAAACTGGTATCACATCCCATATAAATGATCTTAAATGGTTTAAGTGCCACAGGGAGGTCGATCCTATGCACATTTACTCAGATTTGAATCTTACTGGTTTCAGTGAGGTCTTTTTTTCCTCATATAGGCACATATAGAGATACTCATTGTAAGCGACCTTGAAATCAGGTAGAATGAAAGATGATTTATCAATATTTCAGATACGGGGGGGGGGGGAATTAAGACTGCAGGCTTAAAGAAATAGACTATGACTTCCCATTGCAAACCCCACTTCCATCCACACAAAATCTCTAGTATACTTGCAATTTTTGAACGTTAATCACGCATGCTCAAAATGTATAAAAATCCACTCAAAATGGTTTAAAAACCTAATTTTAGAGACATGCTTTTATATGCACGAATTTAAAACAATTATTAAGGTTGTTTTTTTTAATGTGTCAAACCAACCAATCAAGTAGTTATATCTTCAGGAGGTGTGAAAGCCGATTTCCAATTGATGGTTTTTGTTTTTGTTCCAGAGCTTCTGAAGCCGTCACATTTTTTTCTTCGTTAACAACGACAAATTCACTTTGATAACGTGCAGCATACAAAAGAACCACTTTGTATCTATCCCAGAATGTAATGAATGGAAAGTAGAAGCACACCTTTTGTGCCTTGCGCTTATCTGCCCGTTGGTTCTGATGGTAGATGCGGCTGAAATTGGAGACAATGACAGGAACTGGAAGGGCAATGACTAAGACCCCACTCAGGGAACAAATTGAGCCAAAGATCTTCCCAGCGATTGTCTTCGGCACCATGTCACCATACCTGCGGTGGGGGAAAAAAAAGAGAGATTTCTGTTTTAAAGGTAACTCGCAATTTACACACATATTTAACCAGCTTGGCACGCTTGGCTGAAATTATTATTATTATTATTTTACAAAAAGTAGGTGGGAACAGGGCAGGTGTCCAGGAAAAAATACTTTGGCAGTCCTACCTGCCATTGAACCCAATGTGTTTTGACTCTGAGATTTTGGCTTTAAGTGCTATCCCCAGAACATGACTGCCATGTAAGTCACCTGTGTACATTTCCCTAGTTAGAATTTTAATGGATAGAGCCACATTACAGTAGTACCTTGGAAGTCGAACAGAATCCATTCCGGAAGTCCGTTCGACTTCCAAAATGTTCAGAAACCAAAGCACGGCTCCTCATTGGCTGCAGGAAGCTCCTGCAGCCAATTGGAAGCCACGGAAGGCCCGTGGGACGTTCAGGTTCCAAAGAATGTTCACAAACCGGAACACTCACTTCCGGGTTTGTGGCATTCGGGAGCCAAAATGTCCGATTACCAAGGCGTTCAGGATCCAAGGTACGACTACTACTTTACTTTCATTTGTAAGTAACTTTTCCTACTTTGACCCACATTCCGTATGCAGCATCACCTGGGATGTAAACAATATTGAGATAGATGGACCAATGGCATATTCTATATTCCTATTTATCACTTTTATACACCATCTTTCCTCCAGTGACCTCAGCACAGCATACAAAGGGATTACCCATTAATCCTCTCAAGGTTTTTGTTAGGTTCGACAGAAATGCACCAAAACAGGAATGGACTTTGGTAATATCGCATCTGAGCAAGGACAAAGTTGGGTGCACCTCCCCCCCAAAATTCATATTTTCACAATACAGTCCTGCCTTGGAAGTCGGACGGAATCCTTTCCAGAAGTCCGTTCAACTTCCAAAACATTCAAAAACCAAAGTGTGGGTTCTGATTGGCTACAGGAAGCTCCTGCAGCCAATCAGAAGCCTCGGAAGCCCCATCAGATGTTCGGCTTCCAAAAATTGTTCGCAAAATAGAACAGTCACCTCTAGTTTTGTGACGTTCGGGAGCCAAAATTCGGAACTAAGCTGGTCAACTCAAGGTATGACTGTAATTCCTTTTGTTACTTTGAGTAGGTATACATATGAACACAGGTTTTCTTATTCTTATTATTTTGTGCCCCCTTGGCTCAGCATCTTGTGCCGGGGAACCTCCCACACAACCCTAAATCTGGTGCTGACCTACCCCATGAACTTCTTGGCTGGAGGATGTTGAATTTATTTACCATCCCTTCTGAGATGGCAGCGCTCCGTTTTATGGGTTGGAAGAGAGTAGCACTTCAGAGATTGCATCATAAGGATGGGCAGTCAGAGATGAGGAAGTGTGACTTACACAGCCTTGTCCCTCAAAAGGTTTCTAAATTGCCCTACAGAAATAGATGGGCAGGGGCTAAGATGCTGTTCCCTCTCATTTAGAAGGAAAAAATTAAACTATTGATCAGTTATATAGAATTAAATTTCCATTGAAAGTGTGTGGTGCATTTCTTTATTTAGGAACAGACTATAAGATACTTCTCATCTGAAAAGTAAAAATCGTATCGTGAATTCTGCACAGAAACTTTTAAATCTTTTTTTTTTTTTTTTGCTGGTTAAGAGTTAGGAATGAATCCAATTTATCCATGAAATAAAGTCAAAGCAGGGGAAAACTAATGTGATACAATAATCTTCTGCGCCACTAGAGGGCATAAAACACCACCAGAAAGCAGCCACTCAGCTGAAATGTGTCATATTTTACACCATGAGACACAACTGTACCCAAACACGTACTGCAGATACCCTCCTTTCCACTTCAATTACATTCTCTCCACAAATGTTATACCCATGTGGGGTTTCTTGTCTAACTTCTGCTGTGCTTGCTGAAAGGGGGGGGGGGAGAAAGATAGTACAATGACTTTTGGGTTTTATTTTGCAGCTTGTAAAAAGGGGACTGCAGAGACTGGGAAAGTAAAACAAATAGGTCATTGAACCTGACAGTGTTCCTTTTAAAAGGCAAGGTCATTCCTTACTAATGCATGAAAAGGATGAAAAACTTTAGACAGCAATAATCACAGTGGCTGATAAATAAATTAGAAGGTGGCGGAAATCAAATTTTGCAGGAAAACAGAACGGAAGCAGGGTGAGCAAATGTATTCTAATTTGTATGAGTTATTCTTGTCTGAAAATATAGGGCTGGTTGAAGAATTCAGCAAGGTGTCTAGGGACCCTGAGTCTTGAAAGCCAAGTCAAATGAGTCTTATGCCACCTTAAAAATTAATAGATCTATTGTGGAGTTAACCCTTAGAGGACCAGAGGCAACTTCGTCAGGTGAGTGATGCGGTCACCAAAGTGGGCAGGTGAACATGGCCTTGAGTACAGAGAAATGAAAATCATGGTGCAACAGTTGTCTGAAAAGAGTGAGGCCAAATGGTGAAGCAAAAGATAGCAGGAGGGCATATAATATATATTTCTTGTTTGGTTTATTTTGCCGCTTATAGGTAAAAGGTAAAGGTAAAGGACCCCTGGACGGTTAAGTCCAGTTAAAGGTGACTATGGGGTTGCGGCGCTCATCTCGCTTTCAGGCTGAGGGAGCTGGCGTTTGTCCACAGTCAGCTTTCTGGGCCATGTGGCCAGCAGCACTAAACTGCTTCTGGTGCAACAGGACACCATGATGGAAACCTGAGCACACGGAAATGCAGTTTACCTTCCCGCCACAGTGGTACCTATTTATCTACTTGCACTGGTATGCTTTCGAACTGCTAGGTTGGCAGGAGCTGGGACAGAGCAGCGGGAGCTCACCCCGTTGCTGGGATTTGAACCGCCGACCTTCCAAGAGGCTCAGTGGTTTAGACCACAGCGCCACCCGTGTCCCTATTGCTGCTTATAACACCAGTGTAAACAGGGAAGCATTACAAAACAACACAGCCACAATGATGACCTTTAAGAGCAAGAGGGGAGCCCCTTCTGGAGGAGCCAGCTGAGAAAACAGCTCAGCCCGAGAGGCAAAGTGACAAACGACAGGTGCCGTTGAAGCTCATGATTGCTGATACATTGAATGAAAATAAATAAATACAATGCCGTACAAAATATGTCTGCTTCGGAGTGTAGTATTTTATTTCATTTTTGAGATTCTGAGCTATTGCATTAACCATCTGAATGAGGCTACACTTTTTGACAAACGTTGCAAAAGCTTGACAACATAGTCATAGAATTATAGAGCTGGGGGTCGAATCTAGAGATTTAAGAGGCCCATGCCCTCCATTGACGGAGCTCTCCTGCATCTCTGAGTCTTTCTGCCTTTTGCTTTCCAGTTTAGTTGCCATTAATCAGAATATGAGAAGTTCCTTCTGATCTGTAAAATGGCTCAAATCACCAAGAGTGATTTGCCATCGAAAGTTCAAGTTGTTCCGAGAAATGGAAAGCCGGTTTGGAAGTTTGTTGTGCATTAGGAGGCAATCACCTGTATCACTAGTAGCCTGCACCTAATAATTAAGTTCCAAATAACCTGGAATATAGCACAATAGTCCAGCAAGCCATTGTAAAAGCAAACGTACAAGCAATACTGAAATGGGTTTCCTCTGCTGGAAAACAGGAAACAATCTACAGGCAACTTTCTGTGGCCCTGTTCACACACACCAAAAACAACTTTGGTTTAACAAACCCATAATTTGTTTTCATTTCTGTAAAATTCTGTTTTAGAGGACAAAAATAAAGAGCAAGTTTTTATATTTACAAAGATGGAGATTACTTTTGGGTGCTGCAAATAGGAGGCAAATTGGATTGAGAAGGTATGCCAGATTCTGCATTTGAGAGTTTTCCTGTGGTAATCTTAAGTCTCTCCCATTTCCAATTATTCCTGTATTGTGAAGAATAAATATTGGGCTATTTCAGCTTAACATTTCTTATATTTTTAATGCATGGTTCTATCCCCCCCCCATTTTTTTTACACCCAACCTAATTCTCAAGAACCAGGTGGAATATAAACCAAAACAAACAAACAAACAAACCAGCATTTATTCACAAACAGCCAAACAATTAATGTGGGAAATTAGGGTAATTCTCCAATGCTGGCATGCTTCTCTGTACATTAAAGCAAACAAACAGTCAGATGCTTTCATTTGGATAGTGGCTCGAGAAAATACCATTAGTGAAGGACAGGAATGGCCTGTGTTGAAACAGTGGAACAAGAAAGGAAAAATATGAAATAATATTATAGAGCTGTCAAATTATATTTGGCAACTGCAAAATAGGCTGCTTGTCTGTGGAGGGTGAAGCAAATCGGTATAAAACTGTTCCCTATAGCTTCCAAACTGCTTGGTGACTAAACACTGGCAAGTGAGCCCTAATTAGTCATTTATTTCAGAACGGCACACTGGAGTAGTTAATTTAAAATGCCACTGGTAATAATCTTAAGTAGCATTTGGAACCATTCATGTGCATTACAAATGCACACATCTCTTGCATTCCGGTAATTTTTAGGAGGCTTCTACTTGCTGCAGTTTCTGTTTCGAAACCAGCCAGATTTGCTTCTGTCTATCTTTTCCAATGTGTGCATGGAGCTCGGGATGAGCTGAGGCTCATCCTTTTCAAAACACGTAAGGAAATCCTTCATGTGCACTAGATATGATAGGGCAGCCGAGTCTTGGGTTCTCAAGCTCCTGCGCGGTTTGGCAATAGGCTTGTGCAAAGCTTTGCAATGAATGGAATCCTATGCAGCTTTTGATCATTGTTGTTCCCTACAGGAAGGGACACGGGTGGCGCTGTGGTCTAAACCACAGAGCCTAGGGCTTGCCGATCAGAAGGTTGGTGGTTCGAATCCCTGCGATGGGGTGACCTCCCGTCGCTTGGTCCCAGCTCCTGCCAACCTAGCAGTTTGAAAGCAAGCCAGTACAAGTAGATAAATAGGTACTGCTCCGGCAGGAAGGTTAACGGTGTTTCCGTGCGCTGCTCTGGTTCGCCAGAAGTGGTT